TGAGAGGGGAGGCTCTGTTATAACGGAGGCATGGTGTTAAATCGTGTCTAATCTGAGCCAGTACCTTGTCTGGCAGTGTGCAGTTGGGTCTTAGCAGATCAGGTGCTGCTACACTTCCCACTGACTCAAGCCATGTGCAAGCAGTTTAAATTCCATCCCAGTCCCTGTGATTAGTGTTTCCACTCATCTGGTTATAGATCTACAGAGATGCTTTAAAAACTGAAATGTTTTTTAGAAGCAATCAAGGAAATTAAGAAGTGTGTTTCTGAATCTGAAAGTTTACCTGGCGTCAGTGATTTGAAGAACCTTCATCCATCTCTAAAAACCCTTAAATTCTCAGCACAAAATAATAATGTTTACTTTTTCTTTGTTTAGACCCTATCAGAATAACAAATAAAAATAATGCTTTTTGTTTGTTTTGTATCAAGTATTTGGTTTAGACTGTGACTGCTTACATCTCGAAAAAGTAATAAATGAAAGAGTACTCTCTGCAGGTGAGCTAAAGTCTTATAGTAGTAAAACATTTAAACATATGCTTGCTTAAGTCAATCTATATTCAACAGATCCTCTAAATACAACCCAAGAATTAGATGGACAATCTTCAGGTTGGTTTGTGCCTCTGGAGTCTCTGAATGACAAAGAAAACGTACTGAAAGACCTCAGCTGAATTCAGTGAATTGTCCTGGCTCCATGCAAGCCAGGAAGTTTCCACCCTTGGTATGTCCTTCCCCATCCACAGGTACAAAACTCTTTCCAGCTTCTACTGAGCTCACTGAAATTCCTGTGATTCATTTCATTGCGAGCAGGAGCCAGACAGAAATATGGTCGGTTTGATGAAAATGCAATGCATATGTTAAAATAAAGTAGGATCACATCTGCATTTTTTCCGCATGCTAAACAATAATGTGATTATTTAGTGCTGTTTTTGAAAAAAAAAAATAGTTTGACTGTTCTTTCCAAAGGAAACTTGGCAACAGTAAAATCTAGATGTAAAATTTAGTGGTTTAAAATTTTAGGCCACCAACATTGATTTAACATTCTAAAAAGGTTGTCTTGCTCTGGGAAAGTCCATACAGACTGACACTTTTTCTTTTCCTTCAAATCTTGGATTAAAAAAACCCCAAAGTAATTTAAATCAAATATTTGAAGTGCCAACTCGGAACAAATTTCTGTAGCCAAACGCAGATTGGGCAGGCAGATTTCCACTGTGATAAAATCACAAATCATGGAAACAATAATTCTGCCTCTACCTACAGACAGGCAAACACACCAACATACAGAAAGTGCATATCTCCCCAATACATTCAGATATTTGCCTTTATAAGGGAAGAAATGATTACTCTTGAGGGGCACAGCCATAAGTGAATCATCGGGTATCTCTCTCACATATGAAGATAGATGGCATATCTGTCTAAAGATGTGGCTTTTGTCTCTCATTCTCTCTCTCTCTGAGGGAGACTCATTTGCAGCAAGAATTTATTCACCACTGCAGAATAAATGAGGATTATAGCCATACACATGTATGTGTGTGTGTGTGAATATCTATTCACTACTCATAGTGATAGTGATGAAACCACAGTGTTCTAAATATAGATGGGGAAGTATGTGACCATTAAAAAAAGAAAACTCTGAATACTTTTTGGTTGATTATCTTTTGACTTTTGTTGTTTGTGCAAAAGCCTTTGCTATGGATGCTGTCATTCTTACTATGTTATTGTTAGTGGTTCAGTGTTCTCATTGGTTGAATTATTCTATAGTACATCATATAGCTGAATTGGAATGGTGATTTCAGAAATATCCCTCAGTTTCTGGGAAACAAAGAAATCTGGGAGACACTGATTACAGTCTGTAAAATAGTTTATCCCAATACAAACATAACAAACAGAAAGAAAATTCAGAAATCAACAACGTGTGCACTTTAGGGTATTTGGGACTGTATTTATTGTGGGTTTGTTTTTGTTTTTAGCATTTTTTTTTGCAATTTAACAGCCATGGCCTATTTTAAAAAGAACAGATTGGTGATGATGTAAACTGAATAGTTGTCTCCACATGCTCCAAATAATCTGAGAAGACAGTCACACCCTCAGTTGTTTTCTTATGGCTACTTTTTAAACAACTTGTACTATCTTAATCCAATTCAACTCCAATGAGAACAACAGATCTGAAATTTCTTTTTTCCCATTTTCATGTATTTTTTTGATACAGACATTGCCTAGGCTTTCAGTTTCTTCATTCTGGTGTACTCTGCTTTTCCTGGCTTGTTTATACATAATGCAGGGCATGAAATGATCAGGGTGCTTCAGCCCATGCTTAACCTCACTTGTATCCATAATGCTATGGGTGGAATTCACGTGGTTAAAATTAGGTATGTTAGTAAATCATCTGTCTGAATGGAGGCAGTGAACAATAAGAACAACTCTTTTAATAGAAAAGCTAATGTTTGTCAAGTGCAAAGCATCATAGGGAGGCAAGTATAGAAGACAGAATGTGCATGATTTTTAAGATGCCCGAATTTTAGGAATTCAGGTTAAGGTTTCCATGGTGATGCTATCTTCATCTACTTCCTTATGAACTTGGGTCTCTGCTGAGTTCCACCCCCGTAAAAGGACAGAACAGGGTCAAAGGTTTTCTGTGCATTTCCAAGTAAATTGCAACAGGAGGAATGACACTATTCGACTTAAGTGTTTTGTATCTTAACATTTCAAAGAATTAGTTTTTCTTTAATGTCCCCTTCTTTTCCTTAGTGTTCACTTGTCAAAGGAAAATTCGTGTGAATTGGAAAAAAATAGCATATTTTATGCAAGACATAGCCTTTAATACAGGCAAGATGAGCTCAGTGTAAGCTACAGTGAGCAGAAAGGAGGCTTATGCCACTTCTGCAGCAGGACAGTCCTGAGGATTTGTCCCAACAAACCTTTGTCCAGCTGTTTACATTTGAAACTAGTTACCCATGGCCCTAAGCATCCCTGGAAAACAGTAAATCTCTGGCTCCTTTCTTGGCCTGCCTGCCTCACCTGCTAGTCCCTTAGTCAGAATAATGCAACATAATAGTTTGAACTGCTGGAGTAGTATAAAGAGAGTGGTATAATGGTGACAATTTAGACCACAGATCTTTAGTTCAAGGAAAAGTAAGTCAGCCTTTAGAAACATGTCACCCCACACTTTGATTTTCTCATTTCCTCTACTACATGAAGCATAAGCTTCTTGCTTCCACTTTGCATTTTCTTTGAGGCCTCTCTCTGCCTATTCAACCTGCAGTTTTTGCTCAGTTCCCAGCACTTGATGTCAGCCTCTGCTGCCTCTGGTTGTGGGCATACTTTGTCCACTTGTTACATTTGCAAACAAGTCCCTTTGGGTTACCTTCCATGCCTCTGCTGTCATATATGAGAATAAATTCTTATAAGCATCTGCAAAACCCCTTCACTGTCCTCTGTCTTACTCCTCTCTAAAACTCTACCTATGAGCAGCTCTAGATCAGCCAGACTGCTGGTGTGTTAATGCAACCACCTGTTATACCACTCAGTTCTGGTTTGTTTTTTCTTCATACTCGCTTACACCCTTTTATACTCTATATGTCTCTTACTACGATTATAATGTCCTTAGAATCCAACATCTAATTTACTAGAATCTTAATCTATGCCTAGTACAAACTCTGGGGTAACAGCCTAAGAAAGAATGAGGCAGTTATGCAGGAAATGTGCATCGTCATGAAATGATATCAGCTGTGATAGCATTGTCACAAAATGCAATCACTGCATAAAATACTGATCTCACTGACTGATCAAAGCTCTTTGACCTCAGTGAAACCCAGGAAACTGACCTTTGCCATTGAATCTTCAGATAGACACATGGTTTTAAGTAATTTTTTTCTTCATTAACAATGATCAGAAACCTCTCTTTTTTAAGTGATTTTGATACTATCATTACCAGTTGGCCTGGTAATATCATTACCTGTCTGATCTAGTCTTTATTTTCATTTCTCACCTACCTGTTCTGCAGTGCAGAATTATATGTGTGTTTATGTACTGCCAAAAATATTTATCGCTGTTGTCAATAATTAATAATTACTGACAGTGAGAGTATCACATAAAGCACTTTGTCTGAATGAATCTATAAATTAGAGGAGGTTATGCTGGTGAATAATCAAGTGTTTTACATTTATCATGTTATCTGAAGCAAAGCAAACAATCCTTTTAGAAATACTGCTGTACAATACAAGCTGGTCAAAACCAGCTTTGGACTTCAAAAATGCCCACTCATGTTTAGACTGAATATTAAACATTTCCTATTCTTTGTTTCATAAATATAAATAACCATTTGGAGGAAAATTCTTCCTAGAAACATGCATATCTCAAACTGGAAAAATAAGAAACATTTTTGAGAAGTGAGAAATGCTCTGTGACATGAACATGCTGCTGCTATTAACCCATTACTGGGTTTTCATTTTTTTCGTTCATTTTGTAAGAAGCCCAGGGCGCCCAGTGCATGAGAACATCTTTCTCCTTTTCCTTCCCAAAGCCTCTTGCTATTTTTCCTCCGAAAGCTCAGGACTCAGCTGGCATACCCTTGACATTAATTTAAAGCACCTTTTGACAGTCTCCTCATCATGGACAGGGCTGTTCTTTTTAAAGAGCAAAACTCACAGTCAATTTAAAGCCCGTAAGCTATGGCCCGGGTTTCACGCGAACCATCGGGCTTTCCCAGGTGTGGAAGGGGTTCCGAGAAAGTTCAATTGCTCGCAGCCAGACTGAAACACGGAAAGGAGCGAGAAAGAAGAGGTCTCCCCCCGCCCGACACACACATCCATCAGTCCCCGCCGTGCCTCCCCCTCGCCCCAACTCTGCAGACCGTACCCCAAGCACTTGGGAAATGGACCCGGCGCGGTCGGCGCAACATGCACTCGCGGGAGGGAAGGAAGGGAAGGAAGGGAAAAGGGATGCCTTCGCACGGTCTGATCATCACCACAAAGAGTTAAAGAGAGAGTGAAATGGCTAACGTACACACACCCCGCTCCATACCGGAGAAGAGTCTCCCAGCTGAGGTTTATGCTCTGTGAGGACCAGGCTGAAACTGACCGCCCCCACGGCCACGCTGGACACCCCTAACCCTATCTCCAGCACGGAGAGCACCAGGAGGCTCCCGATGATCTGGCTGCTGGTGCACATCCTCCCTCGGTCATCCTTCCTTCCCGATCAGCCGGGGAAACCGCGCAACCTCCTCCTTCTCCTCCTCGGGCGCTCCCGCGGCCCTAAGTCGCCCCCAAACTTTTCTTCCTTCGCCGGCAGCCGGAGCGGAGCGGCGCATCCGCGGCCGAAGGGCGCTACCGAGGGACGGCGGGGCGGCCCCGGCGCCGCCGGGCCCCGCGCAGGCAGCGCCGCGCCGGCCCCGAGCGCGGCCCCGAGCGCGGCCCCGAGCGCGGCACCGGGCGCGGCCCCGAGCGCGGCACCGGGCGCGGCCCCGAGCGCGGCTCCGGGCGCGGCTCCGAGCGCGGCCCCGGCGGAGCTCTCCAAGGTGCCGGGCCGGCGGTGGGTGCGCGGCTCCGCGCTCCTAAGGGCTGCGCCTCCGCCGGGAAAGTCGACCTTGTCCGCTCGTCTCCTGCGCTCTCATTGGAATGACCTCACCGGGATTTTTCCCCCCCCCGCTTCTTGTTTCTCTCCCCCTTCTCTGCCAGGGCTGGGGGGCGGGGGGTAGAGGAGTGTGGCGAGCCCAGCCCGGCTATACTTATGTATGAACGCAGACCCAATGCACGGGCAAGGCGCACGGCAGCCCCGCCCCGGGCCACAAGGCACGGCACCTTCCCCGGTCCTCCCCCGGCCCGGCCCGGCCCGGCCCGGCCCGGCCCTGCCCGGTTCGGCACGGCACGGCACGGCACGGCACGGCACGGCACGGCACGGCACGGCACGGCACGGCACGGCACGGCACGGAGCTCGCTCGCACACCCCCGCCGTCCCGGGCTGGGGACGGGACGCGGGAGCCGATGGCAGCCGCAGGCGGACCCCTTGGAGGTGACCCCTCGCTCTCGGGGTGGGGGGTCCGCAGGCCTCCCTCCTCCCAGGTGCTGCTGTCAGAATTCAGGAGGGAGCCCGTCTTCCTCTTGTATCTTGTGTCTCGCCCTTGCAAAACTCTGGTCTTCTGCAAAACCCTACTGCCAAAATCGGCGATTTCTGTAGCCATTCCTGTCACTCATAATGGCCAGGACTGTATCAGTCCCAAAGCAAATAAGCAATAAAGCAAAACAGAAGAGATCCAGGGTTTTACTTGAGCCATGCTGGATTGCTTGGTACCAATCTTTATTACTGTGCCTGAGATACAGAGAATGCTTTGCCACTCTGCTTACAGTTTTACAATCCAGATGTGTTGCACATGTAACACACAGACACTCAATCTAGCACCTTGGCTTTCCTAAATATGGATCACCGACATTTGGATATTTACCTTAACAAGAAGGCAAATGAACTATATAGACAATTATATCTCCCAAATCTATATCAGGATTCAAAAATATTGGCATCCTCTATCTACATACTATTTTTTGTTTATTCTAACAAAAACTTATACAGAATCTTTCCTTTTATCAAAAAATCTGTAATTGTTAACCTATATATAAATCCTACACTCAGATGCCAGAATCCAGAAGAGCAGTCTAGACTTGTCCAGTATTTCATGGTGCAATTTGGTAGCAAAAGCATAAGATTAGCAATGTCCTGACTGAATATTTTTCTTTGGACTTCACAACCTGCCTTGTGCTTTGAGAATAGGTATTATATACACTTGAGAGGATTGGATCCTCCATGGCAAGGCAAAGTTTAGTTCTCATTTGTAGAAATCTTCAATACTTAATTGTGGTGAGTGGGAATAGACTGGCATCAAAGTCTGTCACCTTAGGGTGTTTATGCTTTTTAGATATCCAAGAGTAAGAGGTCCTAAGACAGGATCTTAATGCTTTCTAGTTTAAAACTATCTGTTTCCTATTTTCTCACACTTTTCCCACTTCACAGAAGCAGAACACTTGACTACATCTAAAGGAAAGCTCTGTTACAGCTGAATTGCCCCTTTTCACCTCTTATGTTTTAAATGGTACCTGACATCTCTTATCATTAAAAACCAAGGCACAGCATAAAAGTTCCTAAGCTACTATATTTATGTAGGAGGATGAAGAAAGCACAGATTTTCAAGTACCCACATGGGTGTAGGAAGGTGTTTCTGCAATGACAGTATCCTTATTATGTCAGATTGTTATAAACGCTGAAGTGTGCTAAGGTGGAATGATTTTACTGCTCAGAGTATATTTTACCAGGTCTATAAAATCCAGTGGTGATAAGAGGGGAATTGCATAATGACAGATATAATTAATATATTTAATGCTTGCAGCCAGATAGAGAGCCTGTCACGTCAGAATAGAGCTCATGTGACAGAAATAAGATTTCCATAAACAGCTTGTTTTATGTAACATTTCCACTTCAGTCATAATAAGCTGTCAGAAAGATGGAGGGAAAGAGACCTTGTGAAAAGTGTGCCCTAGATGGAGATCACTTCACGCAACAGTTAATAAAACAGAGATATAAAACTGGAGTCCAGCAGCAGGAGAGGAAGTGCCCTGCATGCCCACTCTCTGATTGGCAGGGTGCAGAGAGGTGAAGAGCTAAGCAAGACCTCAACCAGAGTTAATGACTGCTCAGGAGAAGCACCTTTTCAAATAAAGACGGGAAGGAAAAGTAAAGTTCTAATCACTACCTTTTTAAAATGTAAAGATACAGTCTTTGTCCATGTAACTTGTGTTTATTTGCACTATGGTGCTGCATCATCATTATGTGCTAATCTAGGCAATTAACTTTACACATGGGACTAAGTGCATACATTTTGGCACATGCTTACATCTTTGTAAGATTAAGTTATTTAACTGCTTGCTGTCTCAACTGGCTGGTTTTGAATGTTTCCTGTATTTGTGATTCCAGTAAAAAAAAATATATGATTAAAGGAAAGAAAAGGAGAAAAAAAAAAAAAGGAAATTATAATTTAATATGCAGGCAAGTTTTCATTATATCTGCAGAAAGTTAAATACTAAAATGCCATCTCCAAAGAAAAATTAATTAGAGTCGTGAGGGTGTTGGATCTTTTAATTTAAACTGTTGGATTCATGAACAAAAGACATCAATCTTATTCTTCTTGACTTTGAAGGAAAACTTTTTTTCTCTCTTTTTTTGTCATTGGAGACTTAAAAATGGTTCATTACAAAAAAAAATTCTAGTCACACAGCAGGATGAAGGGTAATTGGATGACATAGTACTGGCAATGAAGAAGAAGAAACCAGAACACAAAAGATTCATTTATATTTAGTCCCTTTTACATGTCTCTGATGACCAAGAGACCCTAAGAAGGTTATAGCCTCTCCATTGGAAATTACCAGCTTTATGTAACACTTTTGAGCATGTATTCATAGCTGAATACATTCTGTTCAAGTGGTTCAGTTTATTGATTTCTTAATTCCATGTGTCTCTGAAACAATACTATAAAGATTTTTTTATGAATAAGAACTGGGCCTATAGCATTAAATCAGAACTTAGGACATTGAATCCAATTCAGCCTAGGAAACTGAATAAAATTGAAACTGTACACCATCCTGTGGCTGCTTAGAGGATGAGAAACAAGCTGGTGCAGTCCAAGAGGGGAGATACTCCCTAAATATTGGTGTTACTAATATGCAAGTATAAGGTTTTGGACAAATAAACATAACTTTTTGTGATCTTGGAAACTGGATTACTCTTTTACCTTATGGATTTATTTTCTAGTCAGTACCAAGGCATATCAGCTGTGCTATCTTGGAATATTTGACGTGGACCAAATGACTTCTACCAGGATGTTCTCTGGGAAATGGAAAAATTCAGCCTCAAGGGCGGCTTGCAAATCCTCTTCTTTTCACAAGAACCTTATGCTTTCAACTTACTTTGCTGATTCCGTTTCTTTACATTCTTTTGTCACCTGGATCCCTTCAATTCAGTTTGACTGAAGCAAAACCAAGGAAAACCAGTACTCTGACAAGCACTGCTTGGGTTCCACAAAGAGTTGCCTATTGATTTCATTCTAAAAACAGCTGTATCAATTGCATGTTATCTATAGAAATGTGTGCAAAATAGCCTTTAGAGCATTCCTTTTTTTATTTTTTTTTAAATTTTTTATTGTGCAGAATCAACTCAGAAAATTTTATTCCTTAGTTTGTTCATACTCTAAATTAGTATATGCTGGTGTTCTAAACTGGGAAGAAAATCCCATGTAAAATTTGTACACGAGAAGCTAAGGAAGTGTCATTGATTTTGTCTGTCCAAAGTTCAATACACAGGCAAACTTTCTGCTGAATGACTAGTTCAGGGCCCATAAAACTAGGATCTGTGTCACTGAAGTGACTATTAATCTTGTTAGGTCACATCTGTTTTTCTTCGATCAAGCATTAAGGCATTGGCTTATACCACACACAAAATAATTTGATGACATAATCTAAAAGTACTTCGCAAAATATTTCATTCTCACTCTTACTTTGCACAGTTGCAGGAAGCTATTCCACAGCTCTATAGTTAGTACATCTCATATCTCCACTCCTGAAGCTGTGGAGCCATGGAGAGGTGTTAGAGATGACCAGCATATAGCAGCTTGGCAAAGAGAAAAGCTATTGCCATGGACTACCTTCTTGTACTGTACTCAGTAATTATTAAATCTACCAAGGCAATGAGCATTTTGTTCAGGCCATTCTGAAACCTGCCTACAACCATGAAGGAATTGCACTTTTCAGTAATGCACTACCATCCTAGGTGTGAGCATAAAAAAGTTCCAGATATAGTTCCTTGCTATGCTGTGAGTATCTCACTGACATCTTCTGAACACATCTCATTTTCATCTTGTCCTCTGCAATGAACTGAGTAGTTTTCAAGTGACATTTCGTGTCATCACTGCTGGCAAGAGTGTCCTCCAATTTACTCTGCTGTTTGGGAATACTGATCTGAAATAAAAAAGGAACATAAATCTTTATTCCAAATAATTTATTCGATGCAAAGACCAGGAAAAATCCTGACTGAGTTATCTTCTTTTTGTTTTATTATCTCAGTTAGTTAGAGCATGATGCTAATAACACCCAGGTTGCAGGTTAGGTCCCTGTATGGTCCATTCACTTAAGAGTTGGACTTGTGGTTCCCTTCCAGCTCAGACTATTCTGTGATTTTGTGATTAACCTTGGATGTTCAAAACAAAGCAAAAGTGAGATAACATCATTATCTTGCTATATAAACAGAATGTGTAAAACAGGCTCTTCAGAATAGTAAATTAATATGTGCTTTGAATTGCCTGACTTACATAACTTGTCTGACATTCTGCCATCTTTCACTCTG